CGGTTGTGGCTAGCGAGGATAAGGGATGCCAGGACCCCGGAATTGAAACCTCGTCCGCGGCCAGAGGGAGCTATACGTTACACACGCCTTTCGCTATTAAGTCGCAAGCCTCAAGTCCTCTTGGCGAACTCCAACCGGGGCAATATGATCCGAGCCCGGGTATTGAACGTAGGAAATCCTTATCATCGGCCAAGGTACACGAGAGATTCGAGATAGGGGGACGGCACAGTGTGGTAGTAGGGCAGAGGAACTCTCCATAGAGGTCCGACGAAGTCCTAACCGCGGCCTAACGACGGCTATCAGCGGTATATCGGGGGAGGGGAGAGGCTCAGATCTTATCGGTGCGTTACCACCTAAGCTGTTTGCGTCTTGTAAACTCGAAGATTACGGAATAGCTACACGTCTCTCTCTCTCTTTCACCGATTTCCATCGTCTCTTCCTCCTCCTCCTCCTCCTCTTCCGCCTCTGTCTTTCGTCCTTTGCTCCTTCCCGAGATACCAGATAACGCGACCGTCCTGGAAACCCATGGACCGAGGGTCCACGCGAGCGTGGATGGAGGAGCCTTGGAAGGCATTCAATGTGTGAATTGCGGCGTCTAGGGTCTCTCTCGCCTCCATCCTCGACCTATCCACGCGCGTGCAAGACCTTGCATAAGAACGAGTTTGATTTGAACGCCGATACAGATGTTACTGGGTTTTATTACTCGGGTTACTGAACACCGATAACGCGTTCAACTTTGGAAATGGTGTATCGAGAAGAAAGAATCCTGTCAGGGTAATATTTAATTGAGAATCCTCGATTCGTTAATCGATGAAACGATGAAAGATTCGATTAAACGACACATTTCGTTAGAAGTCCTTTAGAATCTTATCTATTGATTTTTTGAATCAATATGGATGGATGAAAAAAAGATTGACACGTTATTCCTTCTATTTATCAATTCCTGGAAATAGTTATAGTTTTTAGGATTACGTATTGCTCTGATTCTTGGAAAATAAAACTTATCTCTGAGGCATTGCAATAAATTAGGAAAAAAGAAAGTCTCTATACAAATATTGACTCTGTTATAAATACATAACGGAGAAATACTATGCGTTCTCACACAAGCTGTATATAACGAACGAAAGGAATATTTAAGAGATACACCGCGCTCAGTCACTTCGAACTCGTCGATCTCCTTAATCGAATCAGAAATCTGTCAGTGTTCGGCCAACTTGGGATCTATTCACATTCGTCACGTAGATACCGTCGATACCTGAGGATTCGTGTACAGGAGGGGAGGGGGAGAGGAGTGGTTATTATGCAAAGTAACCAAGTTTCCGCGTAGGGTATGGAAGAAGAACGTCCGCGGAATCGTGGAATCGTGGATTTCACCGACCAAAGTAATAACTTGGAGGACTGTATCGCGTTTACCTCGAACACGTACGAAAGTGGATAAGCAAGTGAACTTCATGACACGTCTGGAATTGCTTATAAGTGACAAAGGCCGTCACACCACCACCACGTGTATTTCCATCCAGTCTGAAACTCTTCTCCTCCTATGTGTGTTTAACGTTACCCTATCGACGAGAGAGTAAGACCCCTTTTGGATGTAGACGATGCCTTAACGGCGACCCTGTAACCGTAGTTAGGCCACATTAGTAATCTCCCCTAGGTGTTCTTGGATTCTATGTCCTCGACGTGTACCGACGGGTCATTATTATGAATTCAAGTCCGAGTTTCAAAGACGATGTATTATCGGTAGATCATTATTGAAAATGAGTTGGATGATTTCGGGGATTACCCGTAATATTGATGAGGTGGTTGGAGCCAAGTTGGAGGAAATGTGAATGATTTGTAATAATTATTGGATATCTTTTGTAAAAAAAAATAATGTATAGTAATTGATACGTAAACATAATTTGGATCAATTTTTACAGAATAATTTATAATTCTTTTTTGACTTCTTTCAATCGACATTCCTAAGAGTTACATTAACTCTTTTTGTTCCTAATAATTCCTCATCGCGTATAAGAATCGTAAAAGGATCGTAGAATTTTATATTATAAAGCTTCCTCTCTATTCAATTTTAAATATCAAATATTACCTTACAAATTTGGGTCGAAAAAACTCTCGCGAATTAAAAAAAAAAAAAAAAAAATCC